CATAGAGCACCTGTCACACCCAACAAATGTAGTCTCCTGTCCTCTTCACCTTCTTTCTCTGTCTCTGTTCACTACCTCTTGTCTCTCCTCCACCCTTCCCCCATTGTTTCCCCCACTGCACCTTCCTATGCCACCACTTTGATCCAGTTCAAGGAAGAGCTGACAAGTGTGGTGTGCAGGATCCTGCTCAAGTCCTGAGCACTCATGAAGAGGTTGATCCAAGAAAGGTGGAAAATCCTCACATTCGGTGGAAGGGAGCAAAGATAGCACCTGAATGTGGCTAGGGGACTTAGGGCAAGGAGGGCCCAGGGAATCCTAATTGGAGTGTCTGCAAGAGAGGGCACTCTTGCTGTGGACACAGCAAAGGCAAAGGCACAAAGGTACAGTGTTGGCCACCACTTTGATCCAGTTCAAGGAAGAGCTGACAAGTGTGGTGTGCAGGATCCTGCTCAAGTCCTGAGCACTCATGAAGAGGTTGATCCAAGAAAGGTGGAAAATCCTCACATTCAGTGGAACGGAGCAAAGACAGCACATAAATGTGGCTAGGGGACTGAGGGCAAGGAGGGCCCAGGGAATCCCAATTGGAGTGTCTGCAAGAGAGGGCACTCTTGCTGTGGACACAGCAAAGGCAAAGGCACAAAGGTACAGTGTTGGTTGGGTGGAGTTTGGTAAGAGCAAGTAAGTCGTGGAGACCCCTTAGCCCATACGTGACCTCCCTCACTCCCAAGTTCCTAGAAGTCCTTGAGGAAATTGACCCAGAGCTGCCCACTAGAATGACCTGATGCCCTTCCAGGTCAAGAGGACACACACCACCATGGTTTTATCTGAGGACTGTAGGAAATGAAGACAATATTCTTGCAACACACTTCAGCTGAGCCTGTGCTGAGGGAGGGATGGAGGTTGGCCCAGCAACTCCAAGTCCCTGATTCTTTGTAAAGCCTTTGTCTCACTCTCCCTTCAGCATGGGCCAGAGTTTTCCTAACTTCTGGGTACCTGGAATGCTGATACATAATAACTGACAGGTTTTTGGAGCTCCAAAGGTAGAGGATGAGGACTGTGACCTTCTCCACCTGGGCCTGGAGGATCCGGGATCCACCCGATTCTCACAATTAGAAAAAAGTGCTCTGGAATCCAAAGCAAGTCAATTCCATGTTATAGTTCCCACTTGTTTATTGAAGAAAAAGAAATGTAATTTCAAACTGTGTGTAGTTTGTCCTCTTACAGACATAAAACATATAACAGACTTTTTGACAGGAATATATCTAATATATTCACTGTGCAGAAAGTTAATCAACATTGTCTTAAATTGTGTATACTTCATGCAGTTTCAAATTCACGGATATGCATTAATCCATTTAAGGTCAATCACTGAACTCAAGGTTTGCATGTCCTGGGTCCAAACACATTGATTTAAGGACAAAGAGATCCCTTCTCTTGACAGGCTCCAATGCCAAGTAAGCCAATAATGTGGTGAGGTTGGAGAGGTTCACCCAGGCTTCCAGACTGGTGAATATGTTTTCCATAGAAGAATGTAAGAATACAGCATGGTGGAAAAGTTTTACAGACAGTGTGAGACCTCAAGCAACAAACCTAAATATCAACCTCTCATTTTTCTAATGAAGACATGGGGTTAACTATACCGGTGTTATAGATAAAATTGTGAAACAAAATGAAAATAATTTTATATCCAGTGGAAATTAGAGAAGACACTGAATAAAGTATAGACATCCCATGTAAAAACTTCAATTTAGCTAATCTCATGGTTAGAAGAAATTTATACCATCAAACTGTAAACCTTCTGCACAGAAAAGAAAACAAATATCAAAGTGAGGAGAAAACCCACAGATTCAGAGAAAACATTTGCAAGCCATACATCTCACATGGGCTAAATCTGAAGCATATAGGGAACTCAAAATACACAATAAGAATAAATAACCCTTCTCAAAAAGTGAACAAAAACCTGAATAGACATTTCTCAAAAGAAGACTTGAAATGCCCAGCTGATGTACAAAAACACTGTCAACATCACTAACCCACAGGGCAATGCAATTGAAAACTATGATGAGATCACATCGGACCTGTTACAACAGGTATTATCAAAAACATAAAAGATAACAAGTGTTCATGAAGGTGTGAATACACGAGGTGTATTAGAACACCAATTTGGAAAGTAGCATAAAGTTGTCACAAAACTAAAATAAAACCACCAAATGATCCAGCAATCCCACTTCTGGGTATATGTCCAAAGGAACTGGCATCAGCATGAGAAAGAGACGTCAGCCCTCCCATGTTTATGGCACCACTATTCACAACAGTCAAGATATCGAAACTACAGAAGCACTCTTTATCCATAAATGGATAAAATAAATGTTTACATATAAAATAAAAAATAAATAAATAAAATACTACTCAGACATTAAAAAGGAAACAAATTCTCAAATGTGTCAACACAGATGAATCTAGAGAACATTGCATTAAATAAAATAAGCCAGGTACAGAAAGACAAATACCACACAAGTTTACTTATATGTGGACTATTAAAAAGTCAAACTAATACAAACAGAGAGAATATAGTTGACCAAAACTGAGGGTTAGGATAGGGTAAAAGATCAAGGGGGATGTGTTAGTTCAAGAGTACAAAGTTTTACTTCAGCAGGTGGAATATATTCTTTTGACCTATTACACAGCGTGGTGAATAGAGTTAATAGTAATGTGTATTTCAATATTGCTAACAGAGTGGATTTTAAATTTTCTCACCACAAAGAAATAATTGTGTCAGATAATGAATGTGTGAATTAGCCTGATTTAATCATTTCACAATGTATACATGGGTTAAAACTTCAACTTGTACATCATAGGCATATAACATTATAATCTGTCAAATTAAGTCAAATAAAAAAATTTTAAAGACATGTCCAAAGTATTAAAAAAAAGAAAAAAGAAAAACTATATACTGAGCACAAGAGAAACACATTAAATTCAAAGATATGAACAGGTTGAAAGTTAATAGGCAGGAAAACATATACAATGTAAACATAACCATAACACAGATACACCAGCTGACCATATTAATACCAAACAAGCAAACAAAATTGTTACTAGGGATAAAGAGTGTCATTTATGGCAAAAGTGTCAGCCAGGAGGACACCATAACAATTATAGCCATATATGCACCAAACAAATAAGTCCAACATCAAACAAAAATAATTATAGAAGAAACTAAGGATGAGATAGACTGCTCTATGTAAATATTAAGATACAACAAATGCAACTTTCAATAATCGATACAATAACTAGGGAAAAGACTGACAAGGGTATAGAAGTCTTGGACAACATTATAAAACAACTTGAATTTACAGATATGTATATATAGACACAACACCTCAAAACAGAATACCCAATCTATTCAAGCCCTTGGAACATAGTCCAGAAAAGACCATTTGCCATGCCATAAAATATCTTCAATAAATTTGAGGAATGAAATCACACAATGTATGTTTTCTGACCACAAAAGATTTAAACAGAAAATTATTAACTGAATATTTCAGTAGTTCACAATTACATGGAAGTTAAACAACAAACTCCCAAACTGCCAGTGAGCCATAAAAATGACACTAAAATTTGAAACATTTTGAGAATGAAAAGAGTAATACATTTGAAACATTTTGAGAATGAAAAGTGAGCCATAAAAATGACACTAAAATTTGAAACATTTTGAGAATGAAAAGAGTAATACAACATACCAAAAGTAAAAAAGGGCTTAGAGTAAAATTTATATTTGTAAATTCATACAATTTAGAAAGACCTGAAATCAATAAACTAATCATCCAACTAAAAACCTAAATGTGTAAAATTAAACCACCCCAAAAAGAAAGAAGAAAATGAAATATTAGAGTGAAAAATGAGAAATAAATGATGGTGCTGTACTTTCTGCCCACTGTTACCAGAGATTTGGGGACAGAATTGTGCCAAATGAAAATGATCTCCCTGACCGAAAGGATCCCAGAGCCCCTGCCTCCAACCACAGCCCTCAGGTTCTATGCTGGACACCATTTTGTCTTACTTGCTCTTCGGGGACTGGGTCTCCCAAACCCCAAGGGACCTGAAGGCAGCCAGGGAGTCACCACAGAATCAAGAAGACTCCTTACGTGAAAACAGGCTCTGGGGCCATCTCTAGGTCTGGAGACCTATACACAAGCACAGCCACGCACAAGTCTATACATAAGTGGACTCGGGATTTACCTTTTACTGGCAAGATGCAAAATAGCACCCCATCACTGCAAGTAGAAATACTAAAGATTTCTTACCTATAGGGAATGTGGTACACACTTATGCCTATGATTTGGCACCATTTAAATATATGAAGAATAGGTATAAAAGAAAAGTATCCCTTCCAGACACTGGTTTTCGCTGAGGAAAATAACACCACTATTGTTTACAGCTGTTTAAATAAGTTCAAACAAATTGTTTACAATTACATGCCTGTGCTGCATTCACATAGAAATGTTTCTGTTCAACCCATAGACACAGTCTGTGTTAGCTTCAAACATCAGAAAAAATTACCTGTACTTAGTTTTGTAATACTGGTCATAAAAATTTACCTAAAATAGAAGAGCTGGAAAAAAATGTGTAGTGCAGTACTTTAGACAATATATTTAACAAAATATACAGAAGTTAGAGTGGCATTTAATGTCAAAAGTCCTGAAGTAAGTCAAACCAAGCTATTCATTATACTAAGTGTACATATTCCCTACCCACATTTATGCTGGGTTTCATTAAAAAGAATTTTTAACAAAGAACAGTTTTATGCACAAATGTTTCATGTGAGGTGGCTTTTTTGTGCATTGCAGGCTGCTTAGCAACATCTTTGTCTTCTTCCCACTCAATGGAGTAGCACTCCCAACCTTCAGTTATAACAACCAAAATTATCTTCAAACTAACATGAATGTCCCCTGGAAGGTAGTGTCACCAATCGTATTTAAATATTTGTAACACTCAAGATGTTAAAAATGCCTTTAATATTCCAATTTTCATTTCCATATGAAAATTTTACATTTATTAGTTTTCTCTTCATTTCAAATTCTGACATAAGAAGTGTTGTTTTCTTGAAAGCTTTGATACATTAAAGAGATTTAGAAAGATATTTATTTTCACTGTCCAATGAGCTGTCCCAATAAGATATCCCACATTTATTCCACTCTTTATCCCCATGATTTGATTTTCCAATAAACTGATTTGGGTGTAAAAGGTGACAACACAGGATTCTCTTCTCATATACAGAGACTGGGAACTTCTCAGAAAGTTTATAAAATTATTTAGCTGGAGTGGCCTGCTTGTGTTGTAATGTAAACACAGCACACATACAATGGCTCAACAAGGAAATAATTTCTTATATAATGCATAAATGGAGGTTTGGGGATAGTGGTGAGAATATCTCTGATTTATTCAATTTCTTCTATTTTAAATTAGGGTGCATTTCTTTCACCTGTAGCCCCAAACTCCACCCAAGCGTCATTTTCATTCAGTCCCAGAAAACATGAGAAATCAAGAACAACCGCATGGAATTTTTTTTCTTTTATTTTGCTGACTGAGCTGGAAGTAATGTTCATCACTTATATCTACGTTCCCCCAAACAGAGTTAAATTATGTGGTCATACACCCAATCGTGGAACACTCAGATTGCAGGCTATGCATACAAGAGAAAAGAGTGGTTATATTTTAAAAAGACACAATCAGTCTAATCCATACACAATTTCTCCACTCTTTAAATTCTCTAATGTCTGCTGTGATGTGATTCCTTTTTAATTTTTATTTATTTTTTGGTGCATGGCTGGTATGGTGATCATTTGTGTCATGAGCACAATGTTGTAAGCAACAATGTTCTAACCACACCCAGTCTTGAGACTTGCAGAAAAGATGTTTTCACACTCATTACAGTCCTCCTTCCATATCTGAGGGTTACATATCTAGTGATTGAAGCAACTACTTATCAAAAATCCTCAAAAATAAATAAAAATGATAAATGAAACAATTTTACTACTGAAAACAACACAGTATAACAACTATTTCAATAGTATTCACATTTCTTCCAGTATAAGTAATCTACACAAGATGTAAAGTACACAAACACTACACCATTTATAGAAGGGACTTGAGCAAATTTTTATATCAATAGGGGATCCTCAAGACAATCTTCAATACCTGAGGACAGTTGTATATTTACAGGTATTCTTCTTGATGAAAGTTCTCTGATGTCTTAGTTATGGCTTCTAGCAAAATCTTTTCCAATACAAATTACATTCATTGAGATTTTCCTTTGTGTGAATTCTTTTCTGTCTATTAGGGGGAATTCCAGTATAAGGCTAGTCATATTACATTCATAAGGAGTTTTTTCCTGATGTCTTCTAAACAGTGACTTCATAAGAAAAATTTTTTCCACATTCATTACATTCACACAGCTTCTCACCCGTGTGAATATTCTGATGCATGCTGACAGTTTACATTTGGTCAAAAGCTTTTCCACACGCTTTACATTCATATGATTTCTCACATGTGTGAATTCTCTGGTGCATGCTGAGGTGCAACTTTCGCTTAAAAGATTTTCCACATTCTTTACATACATATGGTTTCTTTTTTCTTTTTTCCTTTTTGTCTTTTTTCGTGACCGGCAACGGATCGCAACCCTCAGTGTCGCGCCTGTACCGGACCAGGACCGGCAACGGGATCACAACCCTCAGTGTTGCTCCCGCACCCTGCTCAGCCAGTGAGCAGCCGGTCTGTATGTGGGATCTGAACCCTCAGCGGGAGCGCCGCTGTGCTTCCCGAGCGGCGCACTGTAGCAGTGCGCCACCGGGCCAGCCCCGATACATATGGTTTCTCACCTGTGTGAATAATCTGACGCATACTGAGGTGTGACTTTCGGTAAAAGCTTTTCAACATTCTTTACATTCATATGATTTCTCACCTGTGTGAATAATCTCATGCATGCTGAGGTGTGACTTCTGCATAAAAGCTTTCCCACATTCTATACATTCATATGGTTTCTCACCTGTATGAATTCTGATGCATGCTAAGGGTTGACTTTTGGTTAAAAGCTTTTCCACATTCTTTACATTCATATGGTTTCTCACATGTGTGAATTCTCTGATGCATGCTGAGGGTTGACTTAAAACTAAAAGCTTTTCCACATTCTTTACATTCATATGGTTTCTCACCTGTGTGAATTCTGTGATGCATGCTGAGGTGCGACTTTTGGTTAAAAGCTTTCCCACACTCTTTACATTCATACGGTTTCTCACATGTGTGAATTCTCTGATGCATCCTGAGGGTTGAATTTAAATTAAAAGCTTTTCCACATTCTTTACATTCATATGGTTTCTCACCTGTATGAATTCTCTGATGCCTGCTGAGGGTTGACTTTTGGTTAAAAGCTTTTCCGCATTCTTTACATTCATATGGTTTCTCACATGTGTGAATTCTGTGATGCATGCTGAGGTTTGACTTTTGGTTAAAAGCTTTTCCACATACTTCACATACATATGGTTTCTCACATGTGTGAATTCTCTGATGTATGCTGAGGGTTGACTTAAAATTAAAAGCTTTTCCACATTCTTTACATTCATGTGGTTTCTCACCTGTGTGAATTCTCTGATGCATGCTGAGATGTGACTTTTGGTGAAAAGCTTTCCCACATTCTTTACATTCATATGGTTTCTTACCTGTGTGAATTATCTGATGCATGCTGAGGGTTGACTTTAAATTAAAAGCTTTTCCACATTCATTACATACATATGGTTTCTCACCTGTGTGAATTATCTGATGCTTGCTGAGGTGTGACTTTCGGTTAAAAGCTTTTCCACATTCTTTACATTCATACGGTTTCTCACATGTGTGAATTCTCTGATGCCCACTGAGGTGTGACTTCTGGTTAAAAGCTTTTGCACATTCTATACATTCATATGGTTTCTCACCTGTGTGAATAATCTGATGCATCCTGAGGTGTGACTTTCGTTTATAAGCTTTTCCACATTCTTTACATTCATATGGTTTCTCACCTGTGTGAATTCTCTGATGTCTGTTGAGGGCTGGCTTTCGGTTAAAAGCTTTTCCACATTCTTTACATTCATATGGTTTCTCACCTGTGTGAATTCTCTGGTGCCTGCTGAGGTGAGACTTTTGGTTAAAAGATTTTCCACATTCTTTACATGCATATGGTTTCTCACGTGTGTGAATTATCTGATGGATGCTGAGGTGTGACTTTAACTTAAAAGCTTTTCCACATTCTTTACATTCATATGGTTTGTCACCTCTGTGAGTAATCTGATGCTTGCTGAGGTGTGACTTTAACTTAAAAGCTTTCCCACACTCTTTACATTCATATGGTTTCTCCCCTGTGTGAATTCTCTGATGCATCCTGAGGTGTGACTTTAACTTAAAAGCTTTTCCACATTCTTTACATTCATATGGTTTCTCACCTGTATGAATTCTCTGATGCCTGCTGAGGGCTGACTTTCGGTTAAAAGCTTTTCCACATTCTTTACATTCATATGGTTTCTCACCTGTATGAATTCTCTGATGCCTGCTGAGGGCTGACTTTCGGTTAAAAGCTTTTCCACATTCTTTACATTCATATGGTTTCTCACCTGTGTGAATTCTCTGATGAACACTGAGGTGTGACCTTCGGTTAAAAGTTTTTCTACATTCTGTACATTCATATGGTTTCTCACCTGTGTGAATTCTCTCATGTATCCCGAGAACTGACTTTTGGCTACAAGCTTTTCCACATTCTTTACATTTATAAGGTGTTTTCCCTGTGTGAGTACTCTGATGCATCTTGAAGGATTTGTTAGTAAACATTTTCCCACATCCATTACATTTGTAGGGCTTCTCACCCAGGTCAGTTCTCTGATGCAATGTGAAGGGTGACTTTTGGTTAAAAGCTTTCCCACATTCTTTACATTCATAGTGGTACTCACCTGGGTTAATTCTCTGATATCTGTTTAGGTTTGACTTTATGTTAAAACCTTTTCCACATTCATTATAAATTGTCTTATGCATGCTGAAGTTTGAATTCTGGTTAAAGGTTTTTCCACATGTGTTACACTCAAAGGGTTTCTCACCATTGTGAATTCTCTCATGTTTCTCGAGTTTTGACTTACTGGAGAAAATTTGACTTTCTTCACATTCATATAGCTTCTCACTCATGTGAATTCTCTGACATGCACTAAGGGCAGAACTATGGTAGAAAGATTTTCTACATCCATTACATTCACATGATTTTCCACTAGTGTGAATTGCCTGATAACAGCTGAGAAGTGAATTCTCATGAAAGATTTTGTCACACTTAATAAATCCATAGGACTTTTCCCCTGTGTGAGTTCTACAATTTACAGGAAGGTCTGACTTCTGATGGAAAAATTTCTCCTGTTCATTACATGGATAAAGCTTCTTCCCCATAGATGTTCCCTGATATGAGATAAGGTATGATTGCTTAATAAAAGATTTCTGACATTCACTGTATATATGTTTCTCTCCTGTGTGTATAATCTGATGTTGAGTAAGATTAGCCTTTTTATAGAACATTTTCCGACATACATCACATTGAAAAGTTTTCTTCATTACCTGAGTTATTTCTTGGACACTAACAGCTGACTTATTACAGGTTTCCCCATATTGATTATATTTACAGGTGGTCTCACCCATATGAATTTTCTTATATGTAAATACTATTGGCGCTGTGTTGGAGGATTGTCCTTTTCCACTATATTCAAAAAGTTGCCCATCTGGAATCTTAGGATGCTGACTAAGATGCTCATGATGACTCTGTGATTTCTCAGATGTATTATCCTCATCAGTTTTCTCTCCAGGATACATGACATCAGTCTCTGAAAGAAGTGCATTCTGACATACATTAAACTCCTCATGCCCCACTCCTGAATAGTTTCCATTATTTATAACCAGATTTGAAATATGCATTGAACTCAAATTCAATGATTTTCCTAACTCCACTCTCTCCTCAGTTGATTGGTTGCCATTGATGATTACACCTTGCCACAAATATTTACCATGACTTTCAGGGCTCCTCTCAATTAGATCATTGATTATCTGGATATCTGAAATGACAAAAAAAAAATTGATGAACCACACATAAGCATATCTTATTGCATGCTCATGTAAAGGTAGAGAAGTTTCTCCCAACCCTAATAATAAAAGATTTTATAAATATCAATAATGGCTATTGGTTTCAGGAGTATATGGGTTTTCTTCATACTTTCATATGTTATGCTGTCTTAATATATTTTCTTTTTTTTTTTTTTGTCTTTTGGTCTTTTTCCGTGTCCGGCAACGGATCGCAACCCTCAGTGTTGCCCCCGTACCGGACCAGGGACTGGCAACGGGATTGCAAACCTCGGCGTTGCTCCCGCGCCTCGCTCAGCCAGTGAGCGGGAGCCGGTCCGTATGTGGGATCCGAACCCTCGGGTGGGAGCGCCACCGCGCTTCCCAAGCGGCGCACTACCCAGTGCGCCACCGGGCCGGCCCGATATTTTCTAACATTATGTCACATTATAATTTGCTTCTTTGTTCACTTTTTTCATTTTAAAATCATGATAAAATATTTGATAATTTTTATGTTTTTCCTAATTGCAAATTTCAAATGATGGCTTATCACCTTCCATTGGTTTTTTGCTCTACTTTCCTTTTTACTCTATATTATTTTTATAATTTTTACTCTATTTTACAGTTTTTTACACTATTTTTTACAGTTTTTACTCTATTTTACTTTTATGACAATAGAGGTTATCTCCTGCTGCTCTTTTTCTCATTCTTCAACTTAAAATATGGTCAGGTTTTCCTTCATTGGCTACTTTCAGGAGCAGAACAATCCAATTTTTCATCACAAATGGAGGAAAATGACTTAGGTTAAGAATTTTGCATTAATGTTTCTGTACTTTACTCTTCCCTAGGAAATGGCTATAGACATGTGGAAGTTTTTCACATAATAAAATCTCCTTTTCCCCACCCTAAACAGAACCTCCTAGAAATTTGTCATTCAACCTCACTTCCTGTGCTTCAAATAACCATTACTATACAGGAAACTTCAGTCCACCCCAACAGACACCCTGCTGTTCTAAAATATTTGGTTCTGCAACCAAAGCTTTGCCCACCATCTTTGAAAAGGGTGTTTTTGACTCCTTATAAAATAAACATTTATTCTCTCCCCAAACTCTGGAACACACATTCCCACTTAATAATTCATTGCTCATGGGCCGAGCCCGTGGTGCACTCGGGAGAGTGCAGCGCTGGAAGTGCAGCAGCGCTCCCAGGGCAGGTTCAGATCCTATATAGGGATGGCCGGTGCGCTCACTGGCTGAGCGCGGTGCGGCCGGTATCACAAAAAAACAAACAAAAACAAAAACACCCCACAAAAAACAAAAAAACCCATCATGGTTTGGGGCCTGCCTTTGCTCACTCGGGAGAGTGCAGTGCTGATAACACCAAGGCCATGGGTTTGGACCCCATATAGGGATGGCCGGTTTGCTCACTGTGTGAGCGTGGGGCTGACAGCACCAAGTCAAGGGTTAAGATCCCCTTACCGGTCATCTTTAAATAAAAACAAATTCATTGCTCATGAAAGATTTAATATTATGCACTGGAGTTTTGGATGGCTATTACTCTGATAAAAAATAGTCTCCTGTACATTTCTAAATTTCTTTCTTGTTTTAGAATGATTTCCACAAAGAGAAGAGAAAAATACTAACTTCAAATTCCACTTCCAAGCAGCAATCTCAGTCCCTCAACTTGAAACCCTTGTTTCCCTCGACCTTGATACCATGAGTCTCCTGGTTCTTCTATAAATTCCAGAACTCTCCTTTTCTATGCC